CGCCAAGCTCGCGGCCTCGGTGACCGCCCTGCTCGGGAAGGAGCGGCAGAGCAGACCAAGGAAGTTGCTGGCGTTAAGGGCTGAGCTCCGGCAGGGCCAGGGGGGTCGCTGAGGAGGATGGGAGAACCAGATCCACCCGGCTGGCTGGATCCCTCTAATCCTGCCCATCCTTGTGCGGAATACTCTGGGTGAGGGCGGGGCTCTGGCCTCTGAGCCCCTCAGGCCTGGGGTGCCCCCCACCCCTGCAGCAGCTCAGGGCCCCTGGCAGCCAGGGAAGAGGGCTCCCCAGACATCAAGCAGAGGAGCCCGGCCGGCACGGAGTCTGAGCCCCCGGGGCCGAGAGCCTCCGCCCCCCGTCATAGCCCCCAACCTGGCCGAGCTACCGACGCCCACAAGCCACCCGTCAAGGACTTCAAGGTCCAGAGAGTCCACGTTTACGCTGGTTTAACCCTGCCAGGGCCCCGGGCTGCAGGGGCAGGCGAAAACTCCCCACTCTGCCAATCTGCCCTGGGGAAATTCCTCCTTAATCCCAGACATGGAGTGGGGGCGGGGAGGGGGACAATTGCTCTGGGGCCTGGTGATTCAGAGGAGTCCAGGGCTCCGGGCAGCCGCCACGGTTGCTCTAAGGGAGAACGTGGAGATGTGAATATCCAGAGGAGGGGAAACGGCCTTTGTAGTGAGTTAGCCAATTGGGATCCTTCCTCAGCCCTAAGCGGATAGTGTTGAACTGAACCGGAATTCGCACCCCGATGTGATTTCTCCCTTGTATCTCCCCCTGCTTCTCTCGCTGCCACTCCGATTCATCTCAGGAAGTGGGGTTTACTCCCAAGCTGGGGCCCGAATACATCGGTTCCTCTCGGATGCCCCAGGACCCGGGGCTGTTTCGGCAGATACGGACGAGCCCGGCTCCCCCTCGGACGCCACGTGAAGGCAGCTTGCTCCTGCGTGGCTAGATGTGCTCGCTACGCAGAGGAGGGACGGGCGTTTGGCTGACTGGGATCAGCTTCGTTTGTGAGCAGCCCCCGCTGTGTTTGTAGCAACCGCAGGGACAGCTGAAATGTGGTTACTGGGGTTTGTGATTTCGGGGGGACACGGGACTGGGCTGCGCCTGTTCCCCAGCGAAGGGCTCCCAGGGGGCTGAGAACCTTACGAGGCAGGGGCTGGACTTTCAGAGCTCTGCCTGGTTTGACCTGTTCCCACCCCCGGTTCAAAGAACAGAGCTCTGCAGGCATCCTTAGGTGCCTCTTTCGCATGCTCACGCCCGGAGTTTGTGCTTCTTCTACTGGGCTTGCTAAGAGCTGAAATCGCTGGGAACTGACATCACTTGAGACTGATGGGGAGAAATCACAGCGACGGAGAGGAGGGCAGCAAAGAGGTGCCACGTGTGGCCAGCAGGGCGGTGGCGGAGAGCTGCCACGAATGGTCAGCAGGGCGGTGGCGGAGAGGTGCCATGTGTGGCCAGCAGGGTGGTGGTGGAGAGGTGCCACGAGTGGCCAGCAGGGCAGCAGCAGAGAGGTGCCACGTGTGGCCAGCAGGGCGGTGGCGGAGAGCTGCCACGAATGGTCAGCAGGGCGGTGGCGGAGAGGTGCCATGTGTGGCCAGCAGGGTGGTGGTGGAGAGGTGCCACGAGTGGCCAGCAGGGCAGCAGCAGAGAGGTGCCACGTGTGGCCAGCAGGGCGGTGGCGGAGAGCTGCCACGAATGGTCAGCAGGGCGGTGGCGGAGAGGTGCCATGTGTGGCCAGCAGGGTGGTGGTGGAGAGGTGCCACGAGTGGCCAGCAGGGCAGCAGCAGAGAGGTGCCACGTGTGGCCAGCAGGGCGGTGGCGGAGAGCTGCCACGAATGGTCAGCAGGGCGGTGGCGGAGAGGTGCCATGTGTGGCCAGCAGGGTGGTGGTGGAGAGGTGCCACGAGTGGCCAGCAGGGCAGCAGCAGAGAGGTGCCACGTGTGGCCAGCAGGGCGGTGGCGGAGAGCTGCCACGAATGGTCAGCAGGGCGGTGGCGGAGAGGTGCCATGTGTGGCCAGCAGGGTGGTGGTGGAGAGGTGCCACGAGTGGCCAGCAGGGCAGCAGCAGAGAGGTGCCACGTGTGGCCAGCAGGGCGGTGGCGGAGAGCTGCCACGAATGGTCAGCAGGGCGGTGGCGGAGAGGTGCCATGTGTGGCCAGCAGGGTGGTGGTGGAGAGGTGCCACGAGTGGCCAGCAGGGCAGCAGCAGAGAGGTGCCACGTGTGGCCAGCAGGGCGGTGGCGGAGAGCTGCCACGAATGGTCAGCAGGGCGGTGGCGGAGAGGTGCCATGTGTGGCCAGCAGGGTGGTGGTGGAGAGGTGCCACGAGTGGCCAGCAGGGCAGCAGCAGAGAGGTGCCACGTGTGGCCAGCAGGGCGGTGGCGGAGAGCTGCCACGAATGGTCAGCAGGGCGGTGGCGGAGAGGTGCCATGTGTGGCCAGCAGGGTGGTGGTGGAGAGGTGCCACGAGTGGCCAGCAGGGCAGCAGCAGAGAGGTGCCACGTGTGGCCAGCAGGGCGGTGGCGGAGAGCTGCCACGAATGGTCAGCAGGGCGGTGGCGGAGAGGTGCCACGTGTGGCCAGCAGGGCAGTGGCGGAGAGCAGTGAGCAGGTGGATGTGAGTGGCCAGCAGAGGGAGTTAGATACCTCGTTAGCTCCCCCAACCCAGGCTGGGGGGTGAACTCTGCGGCTGCCCCTCTGGGCCTGCCCTGCTAAGGGAGCGACTGTGTGTGGGGTACGGAGACGGGCCGGGCATGGGAAGGGGCCGTTCCAATTGCTGGATGTAAGAACCTGAGCGGGAAAGGACGCTGCCCAACCGCCGTGGGGCGGGGCTTCTACTCGGGGTCTGTGTTTCGGAGCCCTGTTTAGGGGTTTTCCCAAATCACCGCCACGTTCCTTCCCTCCCTTTCACTCCAAAGCACACGCTGCCGGCTGGGGGCGCTGTGCTCATCAGCTGGGCGGCTCCTGAATCTCTCCTGGGCGGCCGCCCAAGTGCTCAGATTACAGGGAACTCTGCTCTCAGCCACCTTGGGCCGAATCCAGATCCGGGCTGAGGAACAGGCCCTGCCAGGCGCGAGGGAAGCGAGGCAGCAGAAGCCGGTTCAGAGCCGGGATTCCCTCCCTCCGCACCCAGAAACGGGGGAGTCCCTCAAAGGGATGGGCAGCCCCACACCGGCAAACGCAGTGCAAGCCATGCAATCTATGGGGCAGGCCCCCAGCTCTGACCCAACCGAGTGATCTCAGCTCTGATCCCAGCCCTGCGATCATGGGGAGAATCATGTCATCGCTCCGTGCCTCAGTTTCCCCAGCAGTGACTCAGGGCTAGCTCCCGTGGCGGGGGTAGCAGCAAGGCCTCTGCAAGGCAGTCTCAGGCCAGAAAGGGGTCATCTCATCCACGCGCCCCCCCCTGAACAGGCCCCAGATCCGGCAGCGTCTCCGCACCTTGCACACCCGAGCCACGCTAGCGACCCGGGCCACCTGGCTCTTGTCGAAGGAGGTTCTCTCCTCGCCTGCCCGCTCCATGAAGAAGTAGTAGATCTTGTCGTCGTCCCCCACGGGGCTGTGCACGCTCTCCCGAACCAGCACGGAGGCCACAAACTCCGCATCTGTGAACAGCACCGGGCGCAGCTGTGTCAGATACGCCCCGCCGCAGCAGGATCTGTGTACCCGGCTCTGTGTCCCCTTTGGGGGCCTCCGCTTACCAATAAGGCCGGCTGATACCACCCGGCAGTGCTCCCTCTCACTTTTCCCATCCCTGTGTGGAATAATTTTATGTGCACCGAGGCATATGCAAAAGTGCACCACCCGTAGGAACAAAGCCCAGCTGTAGGCATGCTGCTAATCTGCTGGGCAGCACCGGAATCTCTCCTCAGCAGCTTCCACCCCTGTGCCTCCGGGATTACAGCAGGGCCTGACAAGAGCTTTGAGCTCCTCGCTTTCGTCTCACAACATCCTCCCCAGCTGCCCTGCGCTCTCCAGCTGGCACCTGTGCCCACTGCTGGTCCACGATTCCCGCAGCACGGGGAAGGTGCAAAGAGCAATGCACTTTCGGCTGCTTGTGGCCAGCCAGCAGGGTTCCCTGTCAGCTGGGTGCTTGGGCAGCTGCCCAGGAGAGATTCAAATGCCGCCCAGAGGACTGGCAGGGTGGCCACTTCTGGCAGCGTGGGTTTCCATGGGTGGTGCACATCTGCACGTCTCGGTGCACATAATAAAATGTATTCCGCACAGGGATGGATCTAATTAACAGGGAACATTGCTGGCCAGGTTCAGGCAAATGCTTTGCAGCCCCACCAAGCTATGTGGGTTTTCGCCCTACAGCCAAGGTCGCCTGCCGGACTGGCAGGGTGGCCACTTCTGGCAGCGTGGGTTTCCATGGGTGGTGCACATCTGCACGTCTCGGTGCACATAATAAAATGTATTCCGCACAGGGATGGATCTAATTAACAGGGAACATTGCTGGCCAGGTTCAGGCAAATGCTTTGCAGCCCCACCAAGCTATGTGGGTTTTCGCCCTACAGCCAAGGTCGCCTGCCAGCCAAGCCGGAGCAGGGTGAGGTGCTGCAGAGCTCATGGGAACCACCCGTCCTATGTGTGGCTCCCACCCAGGCCAAATGGGGCGTGATGAGGGCTGCGTCACTCCTGAGCACACTGCACTGTGCCGCTACCAAGGGGGTGGGTGTTAGGTGGTGTGAGCTGCACTGAAACCTACAAGGCCCCAGTGCCGGCTGCACTGAAACCTACAAGGCCCCAGTGGCAGGTGCACTGAAACCTACAAGGCCCCAGTGCTGCCAGGACGCTCTGCAGACCCGGCTGTGGTGGGACCGACTCGCACAACCCTGTACCACCTTGAGTGTTATTCTGCCCAAGGAGGGCAGGCCCAGCCCGGGGGAGAAGCAGCGTTGGGGGGCGCACAGAGCTGGGACCAAGCACCACCAGTGAGGGGGAGGGTCAGACCCCGGGGGGGGCAGGATCTCACCGTTTAGCCAGTGCACAGGGGACTCTTCGGTCTTCAGGGGCCGCTGGTGCAGGTTGCGCCTGATGTCCGGCAGGCTGCGGAACTCGTACCGCGTGGCCGTGTACAACCCGCCGTCTGGGCCGGGGCAGGAAGGACAGGTCAGGGTCAAGCAGTTGCGTAGCCCCGCCCGACCTCCATCCCCGTCACTTAGCCCAGGTGCTAGAAAAGCCACCTGCCCTGCCTGGACCCACCCCGAGGACCCCTGCGTGGTCTGGACTGGGCTGAGCAGCCTGGGGACAGCGGTGCCCAGGAACACTGATCCCCAGCCC